GTGATAAGGGGTTGATAAAATCTTTTTGATTTTGTGATCTTCAAAGAACTTATTGACCTTGCTGCCAATGAATTGTCTCCCACTGTCACATGTGATTTTGGTTGGTATCCCAAACCGGCAGATTATATGATCCTAGATGAAGTCGATAATCTCCTTTTCCCTAACTTTCTCAAACACATGCGCTTCAACCCACTTGGAGAAGTAATTAGTCATAAACACTATGTACTGAGCCTTACCAGGTGCCCATGGTAAAGGATTTATGATATCCATTCCCCACTTCATGAACGGCCAAGGAGAAAGGGTCGGGTGAAGCAACTCTCTCGGCTGGTAGATTATCATAGCATGTCTCTGACATTCGTCACACTTTTGAATGACGTCCTTTGTATCTTTCTCCATTTCATTCCAGTAATACCCGGCCCTGATCAACTTTCTTACCAACGATTCCGCTCCGGAGTGGTTTTTGCAAGTCCCCTCGTGGACTTCCCTCATTACGTAGTTGGTCACTCCGGACCCTAAACATCTTGCTAACGGTCTGAAAAATGACCTTCGGTACAATTGGCCTTCAACCAAGCAAAACTTGGCAGCTTTAGTTCAAAGGGGCCTTGATTCTTTAGGATCTGATGGTAGTGTCCCCTTCTGAAGGTAATCCAAGTATTTGTTTTGCTAATCTAGGTCAAACTTGTTGAGTTTACCTCAGTATGACCACCACCATTCCGGAGTTAAATTCTTTGGAGTCCACTGACGACCTTAAATTAGCCAATGCATTGGCCTCACTGTTTTTATCTCGAGGTGCATGTTGTAGCATCCATTCTTTGAACCAATGCAACACTATTTGTAATTTATCCAAGTACCTTCACATACGATCTTCTTTGACTTTGAATGTTTCGTTGGCCTGGTTAACAACAAGGAGGGAATCGCACTTGGCTTCGATTATCTCAGCCCAGACTTTTAGCCAATTCCAGACTTGCAATTATAGACTCATACTCGACTTTATTGTTAGTCGATTTCACAGTTTTAATTGATTGCCTTTATGCTACCTGCGCGGGGGGAGGGGGGAGGGTTAGCACGATACCCAACCCGAACGCTTTCGCATTGGAGGCACCATCTGTGAATAGGGTCTAGACCCTCGAGCTAGTCCCCGAGTCAAGTAATAATTCTTTATCGACCTCAGGAATCAGGGCCGGTGTGAAATCGATCACGAAGTCTACCAATATCTGGGACTTTATAGTTGTTCGGGGTTTGTATTCAATATCATACCCGCTAATCTCTACGTCCCACTTTACTACCCGTCCTGAGAGTTTGGGTTTATGCATGACATTCCTTAACAGGTACGAGGTCACGACACATAGGGCGACATTGAAAATATGGTTTTAGTTTCCTAGATACGCTTAGTAAGGCAAGTGCCAATTTTTCTAGCTGTGGATACCTCGTTTTGGCATCACCTAGGGTTATACTTGCATAATATATAGGATATTGCATACCTTCTTCTTCCCGAACTAGGATACCACTTATCGCTACCTCAGACACTGCCAAGTAAAGGTATAATTGCTCGTTCACCTTCGAGGTATGCAGAAAATGAGGGCTTGATATGTATTATTTGCATTCCTCCAAAGGTTTTTGGAACTCCGGGTCCAAGAAAAGTCATTCTTTTTCTTTAGTAACGAGAAAAACCAGTGGATTTTATTCGATGACCTGGAAATAAATTGGCCCAATGCGGCTATTCACCCTATTAGCCTTTGCATTGCTTTGACGTTGTCGATCATAGTGATATATTTTATGGCCTTTATCTTTTCTGGGTTGATCTCTATTCCCAGTTAGATACCATGAAATCGAGGAACTTGCCCGAGCGGATTCCAAATGCACACTTCTCTGGGTTTAAGTTCATATTGTATTCCTTAGTATGTCGAAAGTTTCATGCAAATGTTTCAAATGGTCCTCTGCTCGCAGGGACTTAAATAACATATCATCAATATAAACCTCCATTGATTTCCCTATTTGTTCCTCGAACGTTCGGTTAACTAGGCATTGGTATGTGGCACCGACATTTTGTTTAACACAAATTACACCACGTTATAACAATAAATACCAAACCTAGTTATAAAAGAAGTTTTCTCTTGGTCGTCTGGGTCCATCTGTATTTGGTTTTACCCAGAATAGGCGTCAAGAAAGCTCAGTGTCTCGTGCCCTACTGTTGCATCAATAATTCGATCGATATTAGGCAAAGGAAACAAGTCCTTTGGGCATGTCTGATTCAAATCCTTATAATCTACACACATTCTAAGTTTGTTTCCCTTTTTGGTTATGAGGACTACGTTAGCTAGCCAATTCGGGTATTTAACTTTCCAAAGGGAACCTATTTTTAAAAGTTTAGATACCCCGTCTTTGATAAATGCGTGTTTGACCTCGGACGCTGGCCTCCTTTTCTGTTTAATCGGATGGAAGTTCGGATCCAAACTCAATTTGTGAGCTGGTATCTTCAGTGGGAATCCTAGCATATCTAAGTGCGACCAGGAAAAACAATCGGCATTAGCTTTAAGAAAATCAATGAATTTTTTCCTAAGCTTGAGGTTAATACCGTGCCCAGGTATACCTTTCTATCCGGCAGATGCTCGAATAATATGACTTGTTCCAGTTCCTCAATTGTTGAATTGGTGGCATCATTGTCATCAAGTGCTATGAAGGATCTTGGGATCCCGAAGTCATCTTCCTCATTTGTTGGATGGTTCTCCAGTTTCCCCAGCTCGGTCGAGGTCGAGACCTGTGATTGCTACATGGATCACTTCTTCGACGACAATCATCTCCTTTGCATCCGGTTATTACCGTACACCGTTTTGATTCTCCTTGGGTTTGAAAATTTCAATGCTTGGTGCAAGTTTGATGGTACTGCCCTCATGCTATGAACCCACAGTCTCCTGAAAAAAGGGTTGTACCTCATGTCCCCCTCGATCACATAGACCTTTTCTTGTTGAGTGGTTTCGGTCGTTTTGACCAGTAAGGTGATTTCTCCCTTTGTTGTCTCGCATTCCATATTGAACCCGTTCAGTACTTGAACTGCTAGTATGATCTGATCTAACAACCTTAGTTATTCCACGACTCTCCATCGGATGATGTTGGATAAGCTACCTGGATCCATTAACACACGCGTAACTCAAGATTTATTAATGAGTACATATATTACCAGTGCACCGTTGTGAGGTTGAATGATTCCCTCAACATCCTCGTCACTAAACGAGATGGATCCTTCTGGAACGTAATCTCAAGTTCGTTTTTCTCTTATGATAGAAACTTTGGTGCGTTTCATCATTGGACCTTGGGAATGTCTACTCCTCCGATAATCATATTAATCACATGTTGGGGTTCTTCCTGCTCGACCTGCTTGTTGACGTCCCTATTCTTAAAATGATTTTTGGCCCGCTCACTTAGGAATTCTTAAAGATGCCCATTGTTGAACAACTGAGCCACTTCTTCCCTTAACTGCCGACAATCCTCGGTTCTATGCCCGTGAGTGCCGTGATATTTGCATATCAAATTATGATCCCTTTGTGCTGGATCAAACTTGAGCGGCCTCGGCCATTTGGTCTCCTTGATACGACCGATGGCCGGCACTATACTTGATGCATCTACATTGGAGTTATATTCTGATAGCCTCGGGGCATCTCTGACTCTGGGTGATCTGTCGAACCCATTTCGATTCACCAACCCTCGATTGCTTAGACCTTGATAATTTCTTCTGTCGCTCCTGGTCGAATAGCGACTGGGTCCATTTTTCCTTCTATTTGAGTTATAAGGCTGGTATTGGTCTCGGGGTGGCCTCGACTCCTGGTCCACTACTCTTTTAGACTTGCCGTTTGCTCTAATGGGATAAACTAACCCCGATGGGTTCCCTAATTGGTTGTCTTCGGCTTTGATCTTTGACTAATACCTGTTATGGACATCGGCCTAGGTAACCGCTGTATACTCAAAAATATTTTGCTTTGCCTGTTAAGATGTAACCAAACTTCGGGGGTTGAGCCCCTGAGTAAATGCCTGAACGGCCCAATCGTCTGCAACCGGTGGCAGGTCCATCTGTTCCATTTGGAATCTCAACATGAATTCCCTAAGCATCTCGTTATCCCTCTCATCGTCCTCGAGGTCGTTGCATTTTATTGTGATAAATTGTGATACCATATCATTGCTCCCTTGGACAGGGTTTCCCCGAATTTCTTTAGAAATACCGACTCGATCTCATTATACTCGAGGTCATTGCCTTTTATTGCATATGTGTAAGAGGTAACATGCTCGTTTGGATTCCTGGTCCCATTGTATTTGGGAATATCATGCATTTAGAACCTTTTTGGAATAGTCTTTGGTGCTGCTCTCGGAGGAAAAGGCTTCTGAATGAACTTTTTGGAATCCGGTCCCTTCAATATCGAAGGTGCCCCCAATATCGAAGGTGCCCCCGGGATCTGATCAATCCTCGAGCTGTAAGTTTCCACTTTCTTATCGTTTGCCTCTATCTTCTTTTCGTCGGATTCTACCCGTTTTGTAAGGGCACACTCCAGGCATGTGTATTTTTTTACGCCTACAATGTTCAAATGATCTTTATCTTTATGAAATTTTTAATTATGATATATGCAATAGTATATCTGTTATTTGAGCTAATCTCAATCTTTACAATTTTATAGATGTACAGAACTTTTATCGTTTTTTTAAATTTTTTGTGAGTCAGCAATACTAATTAAGAAAGTTGATATTTGATTGGAGTATTAAGTCTGCTTAGGACACTCAATCGGACACTTGAAATATAAAGGGTAGAATGGTGTACTAAGCTCCTGCCAATCACGGGATCGGGGGAAGGGCCGGACCACAATGATCTATTGTATGTAGTCTTATACTATAGTTCTCTAAGAGGCTGATTTTTCAGTTCGAACCCGTGGCCTCGCGTGACCTCCCGGACGCTTAAAATATAAACCTCACCTAATCAAGCTGCACACCTGAATGCCAAAACGTTTTGCAAGTGCCCTCACACTGGGGGCGAGTTCGGGCAGAGTCTGAAAAGCCTTTTAAAACAAAGGTGCCAATTACTTTGTTCGTACATGGCCCTTGTAGGCATAGACCTCATCGAATAACAACTTCACTACTTCCTTTTTCCGTCTTCTGTTACTCTCTCACTCCAATTATTCGTTTTCTCAATGGCCACTGCCTCACTTTCCAAATCCAGCTTCTCCCTTCACTCCTCCCCTTCCCACTTCCAAGAATTGCCTAGTTTCACTTCCAATATTACCATTCGACCCAACAACCTCCGCGAGTTCTTCCCTTCGCAACTCACCATCAAACGCGTACCAAATGCTCGTCTTTTCCCAATTATCAGAGCCCAAAGCTCTCCAGGTCTCATTATTCAACAATTTGCTTTAAACCCACTTCATAATTTTCAGTCAAGATTTTCCTCTATGTGTTGTTGTTTTTGATTTAGTACTTTGGGTTTTTCAGATTTTGTCCCCGATGCCAATTTTTACAAAATCGAAGCAATTCTAAGGTGCATCACTTTTATTATTTCTCGCTTTTTTTAATCCTCTTTAAATCTGCATATTCATTCATCAGTTTTGCATGTTTCATTCTGCTGCAAATTTTGGAATCGACTAGACCGTGGAGAGTTCAACAGGTTTCTTCGGTAAGCACTCGGATTTTCCATATGCATGTTAGAAAAATTGGATCTTTTCTTCTTGTGATCCTTAATGTTGCATTCGCAAATAATAATAATTGCTTAAATGCTCTTTATTTCATTGACTAAAAGACCTTTTTGAGGGGGGTTTTACTCGACCCCGACTTTGCATTTGATCATATCATGGAAAAGCCTATTGTGGAAAATGGTTTTAGAGCTGCGTTTCAATCTCAGTTGTGATCAAAGTGATCAAAAGCCCAAGGGGTTAATTAAAATTCTGCTAGCCTGCTCTACTAACATCAATACCGATAAGTTTGAAAAGCCAATAAGCATTAAGTTTCACGATGATATGGTAACTAGTCTTAGGTACATCAAGACATTTTTGATTGCCTCATTCTTCGACTCCTTAGCCAATTGCCCTACAGAGGAAAGGGCGGTAAGTGGTGCATCTCTTATTGGCAGGTGTCAACGTACACTTAAGAACAAGAACTCGGGCTAATGGGCGCACTTTTGTATTTTTTTGACACCATTCAGGTTTTGAGAATTAGAAGTTTGGAATAGATAAGTAATTATAGTTAGTCGAAGGTTAATCTCTATGTTACGTTCCACATTTGGGTGGTGGGTGGTGGG